AGGGAGGATAGAAGGAGAATTGATGCCTTCGAGCTGTGGTGCTGGAGAAGAGTATTGAGGGTACCATGGACTGCTAGGAAAACACACAGATTCATCCGGGAAAGGATTAAACCAGGTGGCTCCATGGAGGCAAGGATTCTGAGGCTCCATCTAACATACTTTGGACATGTTGTAAAGAGGGTCCGGTCCTTGTAGAGGGACATCAGGCTTGGTAGGGTGGAGGGACAGCGCAGGAGGGGAAGGCCCTCTACGAGGTGGATTGATTCAGTGACAGGGGTAACTGGGATGGGTGTGTTGGAGACAGTGCGATTGGCACAGGACAGAGTAGAGTTTAGGGCTGTTGTACACAGTGTTGCTATGAGTAGCAAGCAACTCGATGGCACATAACAACAACAATATTGTTCTAATAAAATTTTACTTATGGATGTTGTTTTTGTTGTTATGTGCTGTCAAGTCGACTATGACTCATAGCAAACCTATGTACAACAGCTCTGAACTCTGCTCTATTCTTAAGCCAATATCACTGCCTCTGACACACCTATTCTCATTACCCCAGTTACTTTGTCAATCCATCTCATTCAGGGTCTTCTTCTCTTGTGCTGTCCCTCCACCCTTCCAAGTATGATGTCCTTCTCTAAGAACAGGTTCCTACTATAATATAAATTTTATATACTTCTTACAATTCAAAATATGATTATTTCCCAACAATTTAAAAGTGTAAAACCACTTAGGTAGAGGACTAAATATAGACACTGAGCCACATCTGATACATGGCTATAATTTGCCATCCCTTGACTTGGTATTGCCCCCAAAGCACTTATGGGAGAAATGGACAAACAAATCAAATCAAGGCACTACAAGTAACAAAGTAGGAAAGGTAGACACTACAATACTGTGGTGCTAAAGGCATTTTTTTTGGTTCATAATGTCTTCCCTAGCCATTGATTGACTTTGCCAAGTGGATAGGCAGGAGTATACAAAAAAAGTGTGTCATTCTATGCGCAAGGGAATTGGCAAGCCTCACTATTAAACTGAGTGTATCCTGTGGCAGAATTTGAGAATCTCACCACCAGTGTAGAAGCAAGAGAATGCAGAATACTCTTAAGGACCAGAGATTCTAATGTTAGCCAGACTAGGGTCTATGAAAGCAGCCACAGCTAAGATCCAGAGACCTGGTGGGACAGAGTGGACTTTGGGACTGATACCCTATGGGGAACCAGAGCTAAAAGCCTTTGCCCAAGTTTGTTGGATGACTGAGGATTGGGGAAGAGGTGTATGGAGAGAGTGGTAATTGGCAGGTCTAAACTTTGCAACACTGGCTTAAAGTCATGATGAGGCTAAAGGCTGAGCACAAGCAAGGAGCTGTCTTGAATGACTGTATTCTGCTTTTAACCTGAATTACAGCCATTTGACTTCCCTAATATAGTTCTGTATGGTCTATGAGATACTGAAATTAATTTTGTACACAGGAAATCAGCAAGATTGGTCTTAGAGGTGTTGAAGCTGGGCAGAGGTCCTCTTTGTGGAGTTGGTAAAGGTCAGATATGGCCATCCCCACACAGATTTTGCTATTTTTCACAAATGCAGAAAAGACAAATTTCAATGACAGCTGACATATAGCTCTTCCAGTATCCTAGACATTCTCCTAAGTGTTTTAAAAACATTAACCATTTGGGACTCAAAGCACCATAAGATGCCACTATCATTACTTTTTTTTTAAAAAAATAAGCAATATGACTTATCATCAATTACTTTGGAATTAAAATACCAAAAATACTGCCTGAATACCAAAAGCACATAAAAAGTCAAAAACATTTTTAAAAATATTTGAAGATCAGTTTTAATTATTTCTTTTTCAGAAGTAGTTTTAACTGAAGAATACAGGATAAACCATATCCAATCATGTTAAGACTATAGATCACTGAAGCTACATCTGTAACTCGTCCTGGGAAAAATCTTGTTGGGTTAAAAATGCTTCTTCCCACTTGTCTGATCAACTGGTCCAGGCAGAGGCAATCCTGAAGTTAGTGGGGTGGGGGTGGGGATAGAGATGTAGTGGGGATAGGAGGTCAAGAGCCATGCCTATCCTGTCACTATTCATTCTGCTGGTCCTCAGTAACGGAGATAGGCATAGATACTGGCCTATCACTGATGCACATGCAATGTCCATCAACTGACTTGTTCCACAGGGAAATCTTACTATCTCCGCTTAAGACAACCAAGAGTATTAGCTGAGATGGATCATCTTACATGCCACATCACATTGTTGAAGTTGGGCAACAGTTTGGAGGACCACCTGTGGCATTATCACAGGTACAGAAGAATACATATTCTTCCTGAGAGCAGTTAATAATGGTAATGGTTAGAAGATCAATGGAGAGAACCCGGGGTATATTGTGAACCCAGGTACTGTGCATTTTCAGCTTCCTTTCCTTCTTCCACTGATTGTCTTTCTCCTCATTCCACATCTTGTTAAGGTTGTCATGGCCACCTGATGCAAATCTGATATAGCTGAGTCACTTCTTTGATGGCTAGTCTATGAGGTTTCCAGGCACAACAGAAAGGGCCTTGGTAACAACATTGCAGCTAATAGGGTAAGCATTGTTGAAGTAATTCACTTCCCACTGACTCTTGCCAGTGCATGTCATCAGAACTCATACAGGCCAACTTTAGATCACAATCAATGAAGTGCCCAGAATTCATGAAGGAATCATGTACCATTTGCTCATGGGTTTTATCTTCCACACCATTTGCCTCTTTTTAAACAAGGATTTTTATTTGGAAAGGCATAGGAGCAAGAATCCACTATGGTGCCACACATAGGATGGCCCAGGCCTCCTGTCAAATGGGATCCTTCTGACTCTGACCAATGAGGATCTGCCCTCCTTTTCTTCATGATGAACCTCTTGATGAACCTCTTAGTTGAACAGGTTGCCAGGCATGTGTCATCTGGGCATCATAAATCATGTCCTTGTGGGAGGTTATCCATCATTCTGATTGCTAACATAACAGTGGTGGCTACTGTCTTCAGATGACACAGCTTCTGGTTTCACTTCCGGACAATTTCTATATTATTACTTTTATGGGAAATGAAACTGACACACAGATTAAGAGGCATGCCCATGCACAGATTTTGGCCTACAAAGTAGTGCAGAGTTACACTTCTACTTACTGTGCCATGTTGAAAAAGATGTTGAAGAATATTTAGGACTTTCATATTAAAAACAAAAGCAGACAGTTCTTCACTAAATCAAACATTAAAATATTTTATTTCTTTATACAGTACTGTTTCTTTTTATTCTATAGAGTAGAATAAATATTGAGGCTTCCAGGAGCAAATAAATAGATGCTTTCCTTAAATAAAGTTTGATTGACCATGAGGCAGGCAGTTGGAAACTTTTAAAAAGAATTTTTATATCAAGTTTTTTAAGGATTAAATTAGTAACAATATCAAAACCTATCCAGAGAGAATAATGCAGTATAATTTTAAAACAATGTTGCACTTATATGCATATTTTATATAGACAACAGGACTCATTACTGAGATTTACTATTATGAGACATCTTCATATATATATATATATATATATATATATATATACACACACACACACACACATATATATATGTGTGTGCATATATAATTATTTTAAAAAGATACATGTTTTCTGTGCACAATTATGTATAGATTCGCATGCATATCAAATATATCATGTAACACACTCACAGTTCTGTGTACCAAAGGAGTCTTCTTCTGTACTACTATGATTGCCTTATTATTCAATTTACTTGAGTTTTAAAATTTTTTTTACCCCACAAACACTTGAAAGTTGTGTTAATGAAAAAAAAAAAACACCCCAAAACAAAACTATTGCAAAATTAAAATGTTTCTTCCATGGAAAAAAATTTTAAAAAAAGAGATACGCAATATAACCTTTACTATTGTTCTTAGTACATATCCTATTTAAATTTTTATTAAACAACTTTTACATATTTAAAATATTTATGAAAGTTTCATCTCAATATCAATAATCTGAAATTCAATGAAGTATTATTACTTGTAAAAAGCTTCTGACTTTTCAGTTTTTAACTTTACATCCTTTGAATAATATATGAGTCTGATATAAGTATGAAGACTTCTGAATACTCAAAGGAGTTTCTCATTCATGTGAACTCTCTGTTATACAGAATAATGGCTGACATGACAGAACATTTTCTGACATTCATTTTACTTACAGGCTTTCTCTCCTGTGTGGCATCTATGTTGCTTAATAAAGGCATGACATCTGAAAGATGTTTTACATTTGTCAGGTTTTATTCATCCAATATGTTCTAATACACAGTGAAGTCTGACATATGGTAAAATGTCCCTTTTATAAATTAAAAGAAATTTTCTTTGAATTTGAGACTGTGGCCAAATGTATTCTCATACTGATAATATTTATATTACTGAAATCTTATTTTAATTTATCTGGTTATTCAGAAGAATGCATTAACATAGGAAGAATTTCTCTATTCATTCAACCTTGTCCCTGTGTGTCTTTTGATGTACTATGAGCTTTGACCTCTGTATAAAGGATTTCCCACACTCTTCACATTCATAGGGTTTCTCACCTGTATGTTTTCTCTGATGTACAATAAAGTGTGACTTCTGAGAGAAGCATTTCTTACATTCACTACATTCATAAGGTTTCTCTCCTGTGTGAGTTCTCTGATGTAATCTGAGGACTGAATTCACAGAGAAAGATTTTCCACATTCATGACATTCGTAAGGCTTCTCCCCTGTGTGTTTTCTCTGATGTTTAGTGAGGTCTGATTTATAGTAAAAGTTTTTTCCACATTTATTGCATTCAAAGGGTCTCTCTCCTGTGTGTGTTCGCTGATGAACTGTGAGGGCTGACTTCTGGTAAAAGGTTTTTTTACATTCATTACATTCATAGGGTTTCTCTCCTGTATGAGTTCTCTGATGGGTTCTGAGGTGTGTATTCCTAGAGAAGGATTTCCCACATTCCTTACATTTATAGGGCTTCTCTCCTGTATGTGTTCTCTGATGTACTGTGAGGTGTGACTTCTGAGAAAATGATTTCTTGCATTCCTTGCATTCATAGGGTTTCTCCCCTGTGTGTGTTTTCTGATGTACCATGAGGTATGCCTTCACATAGAAGAACTTTCCACACTCCTTACATTCAAAAGATTTCTCCCCTGTATGTGTTTTCTGGTGTTCTACAAGGTGTGGTTTCTGGTAGAATGTTTTCTCACACTGATTACATTCATAGGGTTTCTCCCCTATATGAGTTTTCAGATGTCTACTGAGAGATGACAAGTGGTAGAAGATTTTCATACACTCTTTACACTCATAAGTTTTCTCTCTGGTGTGAGTTTTCTGATGTATTGTGACATCTACATACTTAGAGAACGATTTCCCACATTCACTACATTTATATGGTTTGTCCTCTGAATGAATATGCTGATGTAGTATGAGGGAAGATTTCTGGCAGGACATTCCACATTTATTATATTCATAGTTTTTGTCTCTGGTATGAACTTTCTGATGTTTTGTGGATTCTTCATTCCTAAAGAAAAAAATTGCCAAAATTCATTATACTTATAAGACCTTTCTTACTTTGTTTTTTGTTACCTGTTATGAATTTTCCCATATTCATTAGATTCATAGGGTTTCTCCACTGTGTAAACGCTATAGTTTTATTTTAGTAAAACTCTAACACAGGTTATTTCCACTGCCCTTTCAACTGCCTGAACTTTGTCTATGAAAGCTTCCTTTACTGCAGAATTCAAAAGAGTTAAAAGTCTATGACAAACTTTGAGTCTCCTGAATGCAATGTGTATTGTGGAAAAGGGCTTTCCCAAATAGATTACATTCTGTGAGATTCGTTCAGTGTGAATTTTTGTTGTACTTATTATTAATTAGTTTTCCCAACCCAAGTGCTTTCATCAGGAATTTTTCTTGCAAAATTTCTAAAAAATGCTAATTCTTGAACTTGCCTTGAATCTTCCACTTGACTTTCTTGGTATCTTGTTTCTACATAATGAATATTCCATAAGTTTTCTATAAAAGAATAAAAATTTAAAACTATAAAATTTCCCAGAACATTATAGTCTTACAAATTGATCTTAACAATATTATGGTCTTCAGGCTAATTTTTCCAAATAAAAGAACTTTCAAGTGCACATTTCCTGTACCTCCATTGGTTTGGAGAAAGTATGATAAAAAGTGCTATAGCAGGCAGGAAAAGGAACATAAATTAAATACTTCTGACATTTTACAAATACAGCTTTCAAAATGTTGAGGAGAAAGTTATGATTAAAAATAAAGAATGAAGATCTGAGAACAAAAGATCTACAAAGTGCTGCTGAACAAGAGTGAAAGAATACCGAAAGCCCATTAAAGACAATGAACATTAAGTTAAGTGGAAAAAAAATTAGTACAAAACTGTGTTTAGGGGAGATTTCAAGGAAAATAATTAGTTGCACAAAGAAGCTATAGTATATGTCTTTATTGTTGTTAGGTGCCACTGAGTTGATGATGACTCATAGCAACCCCATGAATGCCATATCTGAACCCCATCCTATTCTGTGCCATCTTCACTCTTCCTCACACACTAGAGCCCACTGAGGCAGTTACTGTGCCAATCCACCTGGTTGAAGGTCTTCCTCTTCTTCACCAACCCTCCACCCTTCCAAGCTTCATGCCCCTTTCCAAAAAAATAGCCCACTCTTAGCAACATGCCCAAAGTATGTGAGGCAAAGCCTCATCATTCTTGCCTTCAAAGAGTACTCTGGGTGCATTCTCTCCAGACATATTTATTTGCTTTTCTAGCAGTCAATGGATGTTAAATATTCTACTCCAACACCACAACTCAAAGGCATAAATTCTTCTGTCACCCCATTCACTGTGCAGTTCTCACATGCATAGCAAGTGATCAGAAAAACCATAGCCTGGATCGGATGCACCTTAGTCCTCAATCTGACATCATTACTCCTCAAGAATTTGGAGAAGTACCTAACTGCAGGCTTTCCCAGTGCAATCCATCTCCTGATTTCTGACTGCTGGTAGAAACATTGTTATTTGTGGATCCAAGTAAGACAAAGTTACTAACACATTCAGCCTTTTCTCCATTCACCATGACGTTGTCTGTAGGTCCAGTCATAAAAATTTGTGTTTTCTTTACATTGAGATGCAATCCACAGTGAAGGCTGCATTTCTTGATTTTCTTCAGCAAGTGTTTCAAGTCCTCCTCACTTTCAGCAAGAAAGATTGTGTCATTTGCATAACTCAGGATGTTGATGAATCTTCCTCCAATCCTAATGCCACATTCTTCTTCATAGAGTCCAACTTCTTGAATATTTTGCTCAGTAAACACATTGAATAGGTATGGAGAGAGAATACAACCCTGATACACTTCCTTCTTAATTTTAAATCATACAATGTTTCCCTGTTCTGTTCACACAGTAGCCTCCTGTTCTAGGTGTTGGATTTGCATGAGCATAATTAAGTGTGCTGGGATTCCCATTCTTCTCAATTTTAGTCATAGCTTGTTATGATCCACACAGTCAAATCCTTTTGCATAGTCAATAAAACACAAATAGACATTCTTTTGGTATTCTCTACTTTTAGCTAGGATCCATCCTACATCATCAATGATATCCCTGGTGCCATGGCCTCAAGATTACCATGTTAGGTAATCTTGGAGGTTGTATTGGAGGTACTTGCTAGAGCAAAATTACAAGAGAAGGAAATAAGAGATATACAGGTCAGTAAAGATTTGGTTAAACTGTCACAATATGCTGATGATATTATAGTGTAAACAGAATACCCCAAGGTCTCAACTAAAAAACTGTGAGGGCTAGTAGACCAATTTAGTAAAGTGGCAGCATATGAGTTGGGATTGCTCTACAGTAACCAACAAAAGAAACCAACTAACCAACAAACAACCCCACAAACATAGAGAAGGAAAATAAGAAAGCAATATCATTTACAACATTGTTGGTATTATTGTTATGTGCCGATAACCCACCTGCTATGCACAGCAATCCAATGTACAACAGCCTATATGTACCCTGCTCTATATGTGCCAATCTTATTGTCTCTGACACACCTACTCTACCCCAGTCACTGAATCAAACCATCTTATCAAGCGTTTTCCTCTCTTGCGCTGTCCCTCCACTTCTTCAAGTATGATGTCCCTCTCCAAGGACTGGTCTCACCTTGCAACATGTCTAAAGTATGTCAAACCAAGCTTCAGAATCCTTGTCATCAAGGAGCAGTCTGGTATCATGTTCTTTAGGACGAACCTATTTGTTTGCCTGGCAGTCCATGGTATATTCAGTATTCTTCTCTAGCACCACAGCTTAAAGGCATCAATTATCCTTTTATCATCCTTAGTCATTGTCCAGCTTTCTGATGCATGGCAAGTAATTGCAAAGACTATGGTCTGGCTCAGGTGCACCTTAGTCTCCAGACTAACATTATTGCACTTCAATACTCTGGAGATGTCTCTGACAGCAAATTTTCCCAATGCAATTAGTCTTTTATAATTTCCTGGCTGTTGGTACCAAGAGTGTTTCTTAGCCAAGAAAACTAAAGCTGTTAACAATCTGAATCTCTTCACCATCTATCATAATGCTGCCAATTGGCCCACTGGTGCAAATCTTTGTTTTCTTGATGTTGAGCTTCAATCCATATTGAAGGCTGTAGTCCTTGACATTCTGCAGCAACAGTTTCAGGCCCCTCCTGTTGCAGTAAGCAAGTATGCATTATATGCATAATGCAGATTGTTGATAGCCAACAACACATTGAGACACTTAGGAATGAATCTAACTAGAGATACAAAAGACCTTTACAAAGAAAACTACAAATCATTTCTTTGGGGACAATAAAAGATCTAAATAAATGAAAACATATTTCTTGTTCATGGATAGGAAGACTCAATATAGTGAAAATGACAATCCTTCCAAAAGCAATCTACATGTGTAACGCAGTCCCCAAACAATCCCAATACAGAATATAAATTCATTTTTCAAAGGGGAAAAAATGCAATTGGCAAGTCTATTTGTAGGGGAAAGCACTTCTGAAAAACAAGAATGAAATGGGAAGCATAGCACTTCTGATCTCAAAAACAACTGCACATTTGTAATAATCAAAACAAGATGGTACTGGTACATAGAAGACCAATGCAACAGAATCAAGAACTCAGAAATTAATCCATCTATCTATCTATCGTCAACTGATATTCAACAAGGAAAAAAATCCAATCAAGTGGGAAAATAATAAACTCTTCAACAAATGATGCTGGAAAACTGGACCTGCAGAAATCTGAAGCAGGATGCACACCTCTCACCATATATAAAAATCAACTCAACAACCATAGTGACAACTGTCAAGAAGTGAAGATGTTATTATTGCACTGGTCCAATCTGTTGTCAAAGACCTCTTTGAAAGTGTTAAAGAGCAAGAATGTCAGTTTAAATATTAAAGTGCATCTGACCAAGCCATGGTATATTTTTCATGGCTTCCTGGTATGTGAAAGTTGGGCAATGAATAAAGAAGAATGAGGAACTGATGTCTTTGAATTGTGTTCCCAAAAAGTCTTGAGTATACCATAAACTGACAAAAGAACAAATCTATCTTAGAAGAAGAGCAGCCTGGTTTCTCCTTCTAGGAAAGTAATTGGAGACTTCATCTTGCATATTTTGAGCATGTTGCCATAAGGGGCTAGCTCTTAGCAAAAGACAACATTCTGGGTAGGTAAGAGAATCAATAAATAAAGGAAGACATTAAATGAGATGCAGTGGCACAGTGAGTACAGCAAAGAACTTAAATATGGTAGAAATTGTGAGGAGGGTGCAGGAAAGGGCAAAGTTTCAATAAGGAATTATATATGGTTGCTATGAATTCTAGTTGAGTTCATAGCACTTAATAGCATATTTATAATCGCACTTCAGAATCTGAAAGACATAAAATTAAAACTGGTGTTGAATAAAGTCTGAGGAATATTATTAATAATAAAAGAGAAATGAGGTTTGTAAAAAACTTGTAAGTCAGATTTGTAATATGTGTGTGTGTGTGTGTGTGTGTGTGTGTGTGTGTGTGTGTGTTCAAAAGGGGAAGGGAACGGCAGGGAAGGGAAGAAGGGATGCAGCAAAAGGGGAAGGCAATAAATCACTTAGATTACTGAGGGTGATGGGTGGAGGGGAGTAGTAATGGAATAGGAAAGATTCCATGAAGTCCTGAAGAGAAGGGTGGATAATAGGCGTAGATTAATAGTAATTAATGATATAAAATACAATGTATATGAATGACTGTATAAAATACAAAGTTATTTGAATGGTTGTAAGCAAACCAATTAAAAAAACCCCATAAAATAACCTTTTTTAATTTTTTTTAAAAAAGGTCCCAACCACCTTGTCAATAATATGAGATATAATTTCTCTTAACTCACCAGGACAGCCTTGATGTGGAAATTCTACCTCTAATATCCATGGCTCTTTCCCTTGTTTCAATTTGAAGATCGTGTTTGGCTTATTCATATGATATCCTATTGACAGAAAAAGTAAAATAGTACACATTCCTTGGAATTAAGAAACTCTGAGGATAAGGAAGTACCAATTCAAGAGCAAAGAAAGGAAGTTTCAGTTTTCAATGGAGTAGCAGAGATATAAATATTTTTATGCATATGAATACATAATTAACTAATCAACTTTGAGCGTTGTATGAAATGAAAGCTAATATAAGTGAACCCTATAAAAGGCTCACATATTCTAGCAACTGAGGAAAAAAAATGTGAACTACCAGAAGGGAAACTTTTCTTACCCACTGAGACTAGGTGACTGTAGTTTTCCAGCATCACATCCCTGTACAGAGTCCGCTGAGCAGGTTTCAGTAATTGCCACTCTTCCTTGGAAAATTCCACAATAATATCCTTGAATATCACTGGTCCCTGTAACAGTACATTTCCATTCAAACAGATGTGATCAGAATAAAGTGCCACTCAAAAGATACATATGAATTTTTTTTAATATGCCAACTGTAGAAATGGCTCTGAAAAGAGAAAATAGGATGCTGTTTTATATACTGATATATAGATAGAGAAATATTACTTAACATTTAATATTTATTAAGGAAATATGATATGAATGAAACACTTCATACTTAATATAAATGATATTTAGTAATATCCCAATCTGCCCATAGTTGTTCTGGGGGTAAAAACACAATAAAAGTAAATACTTCTGTTAGAAAAGACTTTCTGTTCTAGCTGCTATGGAGACAAATATGCAAATAGTTAAATGCAATCTAGCATAGTAGATACTGTAACAGAAACATATATGAGGTATACCATGGCCAGAAGTGGGAATAAAGTTATTTGCATTCAGTATTATATCTGAGTAAAACGACTGGAACAACACATCAGCAAAGGACTTCCAGAAGTCCAGGCTGGGTTTAGAAGGGGTCGTGGCCCTAAGGATACTATAGCTAATGTTAGATGGATCTTAGCTGAAAGCAGGGAATACCAGAGGAATGTATATCTGTGTTTCATTGGCTATGCAAAGACATTTGACTGAGTGGACCATAACAAACTGTGGCTGGCTGACTCTGAGAAGAATGGGAATACCAGAACACTTGATTGTGCTAATGAGAAACCTATACTTGGACCAAGAGGCAGTCGTCAGAACAGAGCAAGAAAACACTGCATGGTTTAAATTTGGGAAGGGTGTAAGCCAGGGATGTGTCCTGTCTCCATACAAAGAAGAACTGATACTGATTAATTGGTCTATTGCCAAAGAGTAATTAATGGACTACCAAAGATCAAGCAAAACTGTCTGGGAGGAAGTCCAACCAGGGTGTCTTTGGATGGTAAAACTTTGTCTCATATACTTTGGCCATGTTGTCGGGAGACACTAGTTCTTGGAAAAAGACATCATTCTTGGCAAGGTAGAAGCCAGTGAAAGAGATGAAGACCTTCATCCAGATGAATTAATTCAATGATTGCAATAATGGCAGAGATGATGAGGATGACACAGAATAGGGAAAGGTTCTAATTTATTGTTCATAGAGTTGTTATGAGATATAGTCGACTTGAGGTCACCTATTATTATTCTATGACAAAAAAGTACAATAGCGGGACTTGAATTGGGACACACCCCTGCAGCTCTGACCCACGACCCCCATCTTCAGGTATCGCATCCCTCCCCCTGCCCCAGCTTGCAACCCCCGCCAGCTCTGAATGTTGGGACTGGCCAAGGTGCTGCACGCAGACGCAGTGGACAGTGGGAGTGGACTTGAATTGGGACACACCCCTACAGCTCTGACCCATGACCCCCATCTTCAGGAATCGCATCGCTCCCCCTGACCCAGCTCGCGACCCCCTTGCCAGCTCTGAAATTTGGAACTTAAAGAAAAGGGGGGGGAAAACCAAACAAACAACAAAAACAAAAACAAAACCAAAAAACACACAAAAGAACAAAAATACATAGACCAAATTCATAGCATTTTTCAACATCACTTGAAAAAGTTGTAAAATATTGAAGATATAGTTTCTTTAGACTACAAAGTGCTGTTTGGCCCTACCACATTGACCCCATCAACCTAAGCAAAAGGAAAGTACTGGACATCTTTATAGAGAAGTAGTGACATCAAACCAAGAACCAACTAACACCTTCGTTTTCAACAACTCTTCCACTTCAATGTCTCGAAAGAAGCAGGGTACCTCACTCACCACGCAAGCCCAAAACAAGATACCTCCCCCAAAAAATGACACAGTAGCAATGGATTTCATGAAGCCAGAAAGTCTGATGGAACTTTCTGATGCAGAATTTTGAAAAAAGATGATTGAATGTTTTCAATGGATGAAAAACAAACTTGAAGAATTACAGGGCACTACAGTAAAAAATCAAGAGGAACTTAAAAAAAATTCCAAAACAATACAGAGAAAACAAACGAGGCATGAGAGGCACTGGGAAAACAAGAAATCATAATTCAAAATATGGAATCGAAGGTTTCTGATGCTGTCAACATGATGGAGGAACATACAAATAGAGGTGAAGAGGTGGAAAACAGAATTAGTGCAGTAGAAGATAGAATTTCCACCACAGATATAACTGAGAAAAAAGCAGAAGCAAAAAAGAAGAAAACTTAAGAATAATGTGGGATACCATTAAAAGAAATAACATCAGCATCATTGAAATCCCAGAACGGGAAGAAGAGAGTAAAGGCACTGAAAAAGTTGTGGAAGAATTACTAGAGGAAAACTTTCCAGGCATAATGAAGAATGACAGAATATATATTCAAGAAGCTGAGCGAACGCCATATAGAATAGACCCTAAACGAAAAACACCAAGACATATCATTGTCAAATTTGCTAGAACCAAAGATAAGGAGAAAATA